GTGGTTGTCCTCATTTCCATTTCAGAAGATTTGTTGCTGATAGCAGGAATGCCTTTGATTTATGCGTGTTGATTTTTATCCTGCCACTTTGCTGAATTCATTTATTAGCTCTAATAGTTTCTTTGTAGACCCTTTTGGGTCTGCTAAGATAATATTTAATAATGTCTGGAGAGGGCTGGAGTTGGGGCTCAGTGGTAGAGTGCTTGCCTAGCATATGTGAGGCACTGGGTTCTATTCTCAGCACCACATAAAAATAAATAAATAAAGGTCCATCAATGACTAAAAATATTTTTAAAATATAATGTCTGGAGATATTTTTGGTCACAAGTGGAGAGGAGCTGTTGGCATCCAGTGTGTAGACAGGGGATGCTGTTAACCATCCTAAGAGTGCAGCACCTCACAACACAGAATTTCCTGGCCTCACTTGTCAATAATGTTGAGATTGAGAAACTCTGTGGACCGAAGCAATATCTGTGATATTGCAGGCTTGGTGTGTTGATTGTAATTATTCTAATTACACTAAATCATGTCCTAACTATTAAATTTTAAAATGTTCTTCCATATGCTATCCTAAAATCATCTCTTACACCATCCACAATGCATTCATGGCACCTAAAAAGTTAAATTTGATTTGAATAGATAGTGGTATACCAAAGTTCATTGGGATTATTCATAATTGGGAAAAGAAGGAGACAACCCAAATGTCTATTCATGGGGTAATGGATTAGTAAAATATGGTACATACATGTAATGGAATATTATTCAGCCTGTTAGGTGATCCTTGAGAACATCATGTTAAGTGAAATAAACCAATCATTAAAGGACAAAGACTGTATGATTCCACTTCTGTGAGGTACCCAGAATAGTCAAATTCAGAGACAGAAAGTAGATAGAATAGGACTAGAAGAAAGAGGTAATGGGGAGCTAGTGATTAATGGGTATAGGTTTTCAGTTTTGGAAGATGAAGAAGTTCTGAAGATGACTGGTGGTAGTGGTTGCACATCAGTGTAATGTACTTAATACCAATGAGTTGCACATTTATAAGTGGTTAAGAGGTAAATTTTGCTGGACACAGTGATGCATGCCTGTCATCCCAGCAACTCAGGAGCCTGAGGCAGGAGGATTGCAATTTATCGAGGCCCTAAGCAACTTAGTGAGACCCTGTCTGGGAATGTGGCTTGGGGGTAAAGCACCTCTGGATTCAATCCCCAGTATCCAAAAAAAAAAAAAAAAAAAAAGGTAAATTTTTTTCTTAATCTTCATCCTCTGTGGAAACACAAGGCCTACCTTGTCACAGATAGTCAATAATGTCCACTAAATAAATTGAAAGGAATTAGATTTATCTTCTTCTAATGCATGAGAAACAACTGAAGAACATGCACTTTAGAAGGAAAGGATCCATCTGAATTCTATCTGATCAATCTAGACTGTGGTATATTTATTAGTTGTATTTTTAT